AAGAGTACTATGGATTCATGCTTAGTCACCCCTGCCCATGGTTCTGGTACATTCGCTCTCGGTGTAGAGTATATGATGCATAGGCAAACCCACATGTCCCACCCAAAATCAGCCCTAAAGTCCAAACGACCAAACCAAAATCGCTTGGCACTAAACAAGTAAAACAAGCAACCAAGGCTACCACAACCCTGCCTAACACACCGACAAAACTGCCGGTCGTTATCAACCCCCCAGTATCTGCTAGCAATAAAAAACAGTGGGTGAACGTGAAGAAGGGAAATAGCGACACCCGAACTCACAAGCGGCTATCATCCAAGGACAGGGACGACAGATCAAACTCACTTATTTTATTTAATGTCCCAGTATCGGAAGAAAGCTTGCTAGAAGGTAGGGCTGCCCTAGACAAAGAGCAGTGGGATAAACACTGCAAAACACTCGTGATGTGCAACGTTCCAGCCAAAATATGACGCCTTTTCAAAGGCTAAAATGTCTCGAAAGAAAAACCCCCTCCAATGAGGGTAACTCTTGACTCGGCACGACTTGCTGAAGACATCATCCTTTCATACCAAAAACCATCGTTCAAATTGTACTCGCCTATTCGTATCAGGCATGACAAGCCGTGGTCGGTACGTGCAGCAGCCAGAACTGCGCCAGGCACCCAGGAACAGACCACCATGGTAGTTCACGGTATATCCGGACTCACCAGCGGTAACCCGGACGAAGCTCACGAGCACGATGTGCAACAGTGGCGATGGCTATCACGTAGCCTATCCCTCCAGACCACGATGGCAGTTTGCATTTCTAGGTTGCCCCGCCCGTCACACCTTACGTCTATCAAGTCACCACCTCTGATGGCTGTGACACTCAGGAACCGGGAAGACCTGACTGAAACACTACAAGCTTGGTACAGTTCGAAGAACGATCTACCTAGCCACATCAGATGTTGCGAGAGCCGACCTAGATCTGTGAGACAACAACAGGGAGGCCAAAATGAACGCACACAGCTGATAGTTAAACTCGGTCAACTACCTCTGGCTCAAGATATGAGTGAACCAACTGCGCAGGCAAAAAACCTGCAGAGGCCAGTTCCCACAGAACTGGCCGATTCGGTTTAAATAACTTGTCTGAAAACCCGACTAAGGCTGATGCTGCAAATGTGCACCAGGTTCAGAGACAAACCACCAAGTGCCTCTATAGCAACGTAAGAGGACTAAGGAGTAAGCTGTAAGAAGTCAGGAATATGCGCTCTCAGATGGATCTGAAGATCATAATCCTAACTGAAACATGACTATCCCCTGACATAGCAGACGCAGAAGTGAGCTTGCCAGGCATGACACACTCTCGAAGCGATAGGGAACACCAAACTGGAGGTGGAGTGGCGATATATATATAACCACTCAAAAGCAGACCGACTTTACGACACCCAACCAACTGAGGTGACAGAATCATGTTGGTGTTGTTTCCACTCGAATGGCACGAAATACTTGATTGGAGGGATCTATCGACCTCCTTCGGGTACTAAGGCCCAGAAAAGCAAACTGATTGAGGTTACACTGCAACTGCCACTCCTAGGGTTTGATAAAATACTCTTAGCTGGAGATTTCAATACCCCATCTTTAAATCTCAGCAATCAGAGTATAACTCCCACTGGTTGGTTGCCAAGACAACTTGGTACAGTCATTAGAAGCTGTGGGCTGACTGAGCACGTATGTAGTGCCCCGAGGTGGACTAAGGAAGGGAAGTCCTCAAACCTGAATTATCTGTTAACAAATGACCAGCTCCTGGTTGAGGATGTTCACGTCAGCGCACCAATAGGTAGTAGTGACCATGGCACAGTCTTGTTTAACATGGTCACAAACGAAACACTCATACGGGAAGATAACGAGCCTTACCTTTGATACAATAGGGCAAACTACATACGCATGAGAGAGGTCCTACTACATGCCCCGTGGCCACGGGAGTGGTGGAGGCTGATAGTAGATGATCACTGGCAAGCAGTGAGAGATATCATCCAAAACGCTGTCGTAGACAACGTACCTCAATCACACCCAAAACGCCAGAGCAGAAGAACCTGGGTTAGGCGCGGCACGGAACGCTTGCTACAGGCGAAGAGGAAAGCCTGGCACAAGTGGAAGGTCTCCTTGAAGGATTCCGATCGCAGTTCTTACTTGGCATTGAGAAACAGATGCAATACCAAAGTTCGAAGCGACAGGAGACAATTCCAGACGATACTAGCCGCCAGAATAGAGGCAAACCCGAAACATCTGTTTAGGTTCATGTCCAAAAGAAAACCTACTAATCAAAGGTTGTGTTCTCTAGAAAGACCAAAAGGAAGACCTCACCAACCTAGAGATGGCCGAGGTCTTCAACACCCATTTTTCTGATCAATTAAACCAGGCGCCTACATGTTCAGAGTATTACGCCAACCCAATGCCAGCTGACGGCTTAGGGAACATCCATATCACTCCTGACCTAGTATTAAGGAAACTAAAATCCTTACGCCCAGGTAAGTCAACAGGTTGTGACAAAATCCGCCCTATAGTCTTGCAACAGTGTGTAGAAGTCCTCTGTTCACCGACATGTGACCCGTTTAGGCATTCACTGGAGTCACACCAATTCCCAGCTGAATGGAAACAAGCTACTCTCTCCAATCTTCAAAGGAGGAGACAGAAAGGACCCAGCATGTTACAGACTAGTCGCACTACTACCAATATTATCAAAGGTTATGGAGGGACTAGTGGACGAACAAATGAGGGAGTACATGGATTGTTACGTCCAGTTTTTTGCTCGTCGATCTTACGAAGCACTGTTGTCGTCTATTGGTAATTCAAGGTCCCAAATTTCTATACCAAGAACGAAACTCCAAAGTAGATACCAAAGTTTATTCCAAATCACAAATTCCACCAAAATAATTTATTACAAATAGACGACCAATGTCGTTCTAACAACAATAATTATAATAATTACAATTACCTTCTAATTTATTATCTCTTGGAGCAAAAAACTGTAACGAACAACAAAGAGAAACGGGAGTCCAATATGTCCGCAAATAATAATTCAAACAAGTTCATAAGTTAAGTAAAACAAATGTACCCAAAAACAGTGAAATTAATGATATTTATACATGAAGGTTTTGATCAGCAAAATGTCTTCGTTTCTCCCGTAACATGGATAAGAATACTCCATGAAGCTCAACATAGGTTTCGGAAAGGCATCTAATCTTCTCATCGCATGGGACAATTGGACATCCTGCTTGGACCGTAAAATACCAGTGCACGTAGTATTTCTCGACTTTGCAAAAGCCTTTGATACAGTGCCCCACGCACGCCTCTTCCTGATATTTATTAATGACCTGCTAGGCTCAGTTAGCTCAACGGCATTGATCTACGCAGACGATGCGAAGATCTGGAGGTCCATTAGAAGCGAAGAGGATTCGACCGAGCTTCAAAAGTACCTGACATCCATTGAGAAATGGACAGTGAAAAACGGTTTAAAACTCAACCAACCGAAGTGCCACGTCATGCATTTCCGGCCTCATATGACGCAAACGACCTATACTCCCAATGGAAGTCCTATCCCTAATGTCTCATCAGAGCGCGATCTCGGTTTAATAACCATAGAAAGCCTCCACACGAGTCCAAACTATGTAGAAGATGCAGCAAAGGCAAATGCGACTCTTCAATTTATGCGAAGACAGCTTGGCGCTATCACCCCGGAATTATTTTTAACCCTGTTTAAGACGTACGGGCGCCCACACCTGGAGGTTCACAACGTCATCGCACCCCCTCTGCTTAAAAGAGACATAAATCTCTTGGATCGAGTGTAGAGACGAGCAACCAAATGGGTGATAGGGTTGAAAAATAAACCCTACTACGATAGACTCCAGCTCTTGGGATGATTTCCACTGAGCTACAGGAGAATCAGAGGTGACCTGATTATGGCGTACACCATATTAAGCACGCCAAACCATCTTAATGTGAGCATCTTACCGATGCATCACCATCACTCCCCTCGAGGCAATCCTCGAAAGATTGCACATCAAAGAGCGAATACTCAGATTCGTGCACACTTTTTCTCATTGTGAGTCGTCGCAACTTGGAATGCTCTCCCAGCCGAGGTGACCACAACCCCCTCAGTCGACTGCTTTCAGAAGAGACTTGATAATCACATACTCACATACGGACTATCATCTCCCTCTTGGACAAGCTGCTCATGATGCATATCTTGAGACCTGCTAGTTGTTATCATTGCCATCTCCTCAGATCACTCAATTAATCTATTTCGCCTATTATTTTTTTTTCCTCTCCCTTGCTTACACTACGGTCCTCTCACAATCTTCACTACCAATTAACAAACTAAATTCATCTATATATTACTCAGTTCTGAAATTTTATTCATATTAGCATTAGAATTTTATCCTTATTATCCTTATTACTCTCCACATTGCAACTAACTGATCTCCGGTCTGGTAATGTGACGGCTGCTAGTATCCAGAAACCCTACTGCCCTGAAACAAACGTTTTCATTCAAATCCCGAGACATGCAGCCAGAACTGCACCAGACACCCAGGAACAGACCACCATGGTAGTTCACGGCATACCCGAACTCACCAACGGTAACCCAAACGAAGCACACGAGCACGATGTGCAACAGTGGCGATGGCTATCGCGTAGCCTATCCCTCCACACCCCGATGGCAGTCTGCATCTCCAGGTTGCCCCGCCCGTCACACCTTACGTCTATCAAGTCACCACGCCTGATATCTGTAACACTCAGGAACCGGGAGACCTGACCGAAACACTACAAGCTCGGTACAGTTCGAAGCCACATCAGATGTTGCGAGAGCCGACCTAGACCTCCATCCATTGGACATTACCGAACACCTGGAACCGTACCGAAAGAACAAGAATCGAGCGCGAAGAAATCAAATTGGTTTACACTAGCTCATGGAAAAGATGTTGTATATTGGATATTGATTACATATCGGGTACTCATTTTAAGATGTGTCACTACTTAACTCTCGACCCGCACGGCCTTAACTACTTTCTGAATTCTGTGTGTAGTGCCATCGAAGCGTGGTTTGTAATGTTAGCATCATATTTTTTCAAATAATAGTTCGGAATATGACATAATACCGCACATAGATGACAGTAATCACAAATTAATAACCATTTGTGATGATGCATTTGGAATATGTAAATGTACGTCATCAGTCGTTTTTGACGCCTTCAAATCAAATGCTTTGGAATCAGTTTCTGACAGTAAGTGACATTCTATTTGTTTAGATGTGTTTTGTTGTATTGAACTTCAGTGCATTTCAGTTCAACCATTATTCGCATACTCATCTCTCGGTGGTTACAGTTGTGATATGTACTTTACACTAAAGGAAAACTTTACAAAATAACGGAAAAACACGGCAGGGAAACTTTGTGCTATTATAGGTGACGGCAACAACCAAACACTTTACTGTGTAAATTTCTCCACCATCTTTCCGAACCATGCAATTAGTGCTTGTCTTTGTTATTCTCTTTGGTACTACGTTATTCGCATCCGTTTTAATATACACTCTGTTCACTTCATTTTGTCATGTTTTTGAGATAAAAATTTAGGCCAACACGTTTCCTAGCCTCTACGATGATTTTGACTAACTAGATTAGTCGACAATCACATTTGACCATAGAACAGTTCCTAGTGGGATCGATTCAGTTCTTCAGATAAAGGCCCACTGTATTGTCAGGACAAACTCACGCTGTTATTCACTAATCATTTAGACTTAGCAATGACCACCTATACCTTAAGAGGAACATTACGGTAAATTCCTAGTTGTAAGCCAAAATAAATGTGGATCATATTGATCTTGTTATCTTATGGTCTACACGTATTAGTAAGAAAATTAAAAATTAACCTACAAAAACCTATATAGTACAGGATTTATTACTTCATTATTCAAATGGTTTACAGAAGTACACTTATTGCATCATTTACGATGACACTTGTACTTAAGACCACTAGACACAATTGTTTCTGTGTCTGTAGAAGCCAGTGTTTCAGTAAAAAGTCCGACAAGATCAACTTAATACCTGAGGTTTACCAATTTATTATCGCTGATATTTGTTATGAGTCCAGGTATGCTTTCGACTTTTAGTTATTGGGCTTAGAAGAGGTGAAGGTGTCAAAGGTAGCTGTAGTTTCAGTGTTAGTGATAGGAATACTTGCTGACAACATACTATGGGAGGGTTTGTTACATAACGCTCAACAGCGTGTTTGGCTGCAATTTTTTTCACAAGGTTCTATACTTTCTATGTCGTATAAATTTCGTAGCGAAGGAAATAAGGCATTATCAAAAAATTTCCGTAATGAAGTCGACATTTCTTTGGGAATCTTCCATTTTCTATGCAATCTCCATAAATTCATAACTTGGAAATCACTTTCTGAATCAATCAAACATACACAACCTTTGTCAATCAAAATGTCTTGTTGGTTTCTGTATAGATCTGCTGAATTATCTTCTACTAGTTGCTCCCAACACAACAACATTCTGGAACTACAAGCGCAAAGCTTTATTGAACAATGAAATATCAGCCGGCTCAGAACTAAGATTTACTCAATTGATTTTAAACAAGTATCCTCGTTCATATGAGACGATATTTCATCGGTAATTCTGTTTATCTGTTATTCTTCTAATATAATTGTCAACAAATAGTCAGTGGGTTATTCAGCGTTACAATTATATCAGTGATCAAGAATTCCTATCATCTGAATTGGAGCTATGTGGTAAATTTGCTGATAAATATCGTTGCAACTATGGTTTGTGGCAATACCGTCGGTTTCTACTATCACATCAACAAAATCTAAAGGTTAGGTCTTCACTTTCTCCGTTTTGCAATTACTATTATAGTATTTTTGTGTTCTGCTTCACGATTTCAATTCATTTCTCGGTCACAAAATTATTAATTTGAATTTAACACAATATAAACCATATATTAAGTGACTTAACAGTCAACTACTTTCCATATTTATTTACAATCTTTCCATCAAAATATTTGACTGAAGGAGGAATGACAAATATAATAGAATAAGATGAATTTACATAAATTTCATGGTTTCTCTTCAGACGATTACAACCTGGAAACAATTGTAATAATTATTTATAGCCAAACTGCATACTTGATGGAGATTACTAGAATGGCGGCAATAAGTGTAGAGAAATTACAAAATGTTAAAGTAAGTACATACCTTCGTGTTAACAACTGTAAAAATTGTAAGAGAAAAACTTTAAAACACATGGTAACAGGGCTTTTTAAAAACAAAAATGAATGTCAAGATTTGCGTAATAACAGTCATAAAGTTGAATGCAAGAGCCATCTTTTATGTTCTTGCTATGTAATTACTTCACCATACACGTATAAATCGGTAGTTACAATTGTTTGTAACACAAGGTGGAAATTCGCCCACTTTTCTTTGTCTCAATGAACAATTCCTCCTGTACAACGAGGTCAGCTAAGTAATTGAATCTTAGTGTAATATAATCATGCGAGCTATTTCATCACCTTTAAAGCTAAGTAGTGTAGGAACAAATTTTTTTCGACTAGTGCTCATTCTATTCTGTCTATTGGTATTTTGATGAACTTTTGGCATCGATTATCTACTTTCTAATTTCGGTTAATGCTTCTCTGATCTTCTCATCTGAACATAGTTTCAGCAAACAATTGAATAATGTTTTAACTAAAAGTTCTTTTTAGCTAATTGAACAAGAGCCTATCAACCTTTTAGCAGTCTTTAGAATGAAGAGGAAAAATGTAGAAAGATAGAGTAGCGATGACGAAACCAATAATAATAGGAGATTGAAGAGAAAGGCAAAACTAAATAAATCAAATGGAAAAAAATCACCTATATTAGCTGTTTATGTTCTTGGCTCGTCTAACATTCTTAGGCTGTCATTCATGTCGTAGATAACTAATCTCATGTGTGGTAATCATTGCTTTCCCTCTTTTGTACAGTCAAACTTCAGACTAGATTGCATAAGATATTATTATGTGGTAGATTTACACTCAGCTTTATGTATTTTGGTTTAGAAAGACCAGACAACATTTCTAACTATCCTCCAGTCGATACACACATAACTAATTCTTCAGTCTCATTTGTCTTTTCTAAAAGTATGTATGTCATGTTTAGCTGTCCACAGCATTCAATTTTTATCCATTTTCATAATTTTCATCTTGTTCATTTCGAGAAGTGGCTAAGTGTTTAAGTCTTTTGACTCTCAACTACTAAGTCTTAGGTTTGAACTCCCTTATACCTACTTCGGTTTAGATAACTATTCTTCACACTTGAAGTTTGATTGGAAGTGAAATACTTTTTTAATTTCCTTCCTCTTTGTACCGAGGTCACGTGTAATAACTCGGGCTCGTACTCATCACTGCAGGTGGTCCTATACGTTGAGTGTAACTCACTGACGACAGATTGACTGATGAAAACTACCCTTTCTTTTTGTTTCTTTGGTTCTATTCAATAGATATATAAGATGGAATTGAATAATATGAATACTTGGTTGGCAAAGCATCCAACTGATGTAAGTGGTTGGAGTTATTTAGAAAGTGTCCTTGATAGATTAGTGCACCAATCAGTTGCTGTTCCAATGTCAGATAATGAACAATTAACACTGGAATACTCAACAAAGATAATCCAAAGTTATTTTGAAAAAGTACATAATATTTTAGAACTTTATCCTGAAAGAGAATGTGTATGGATGTTTAGGTGAGTTTAATGTCATACACACAAATGTTAACTGAACTGTTTTTCTATTTATTAATTAAGGATTTATGATCTTCTATCACTTGAAACATTTTTATGTAGTCTGCCCGCAACTAAATGCCTTGGTACACTCAAGGTTAGAGGAAGTTCGTTCTCCTCAAAATGCCCTCACATGAATACATGTTTGGATCTACTATCAAGGAAGTCTCACTGCCTCCGTAGAGCAAGGGTATTTTTCATGAAAGTGAGGACGGAAAACTAGTATCTGGCTTGGCGTATACAAACGATCCACCTAGAGCGGTTAGGAATTAATATCGCTCATGAGTTTTACGATCCCGGTAAAACAAATGACGTGAACTTATTTTGATCACTGGTTACCATTGAACCGCGTCTCATGATGTTGTTCCACTGAATAAACTTAGCCATCACACAATTCAAAAGCATCGCGAACATAAACATCTATAGTTTACAATCTCAATCCCTATGGTAAAGTTCAGAACTCTCTCATTATCATATTTTTACATAGTAATCTTAAAGTTATGAACATGTGTGTGAATTTTGTCACTGTATTACTGGTGGCGGTCGCATTGGCTTTCAGTCGTTCTTTCTCGAATATTTCTCCACAACCCAATCATCAAAACCTATCCAACTCATATCATTTGCATGCCAAACACCATTATTTTCACCAATGGATTTTTATCTGATGGATAAGCTTCGAATCCAATAATAACTGAGGTTTCCAAAATTATAGCCATTAGCAGCTCAATAACTAACACATCGAAAAACCCCATCTAAATTTTACTAACTAGCACTTTGGTCAGTTTTTGTATGAAGCCATAACAATAGCTCAAATCAAATATTATCAAAAGGTACTATATGACTGATATCAGACAAACATGGCTTATAAGCAGCATATTTAGATTGTAAATAGTACTGGAATTCAGGCCGCTCGTTTTTTTATTATTTGGGAATCCTCATTCAGACATACCCGCATCTCAGTGTTAATAATGTTCGCGTTGGGACTCAGAATCCAGAACCTTTCGCTCTATTCATTAAGCTGCAGAGTTCACATAGCCACTCCCTTATGCAATCGACATGATATGTGCCAACGAAAACTAATCGAAATTCAGTCAAGAATATCAAAAATAGAATAATTCAAACTTTTTCTAATAATATATGTGTACATGACTTGGGATTAGATGTCAAGTATAGATTGATCTGACATCAATACAATATCAGAACCTTCATTAATAATAATAATAATAATAATAATAATAATAATAATAATAATGGCTTTATTCAATAATATACGTTTAATACAATATGAATTGTCAGCAGATACCTTTCAGTTACAGTGCAGTTACTGATGCAGAGATAATAGATTTTTTACATAACAGCCTATACTGCAACCTTTTGTTTATAGTTTAAATCTAACTAGCAACTCTAATCCAGTGTCTATTTTAATAGGTGCTTTAAAAGAGATTGTCTTTTACAATGTATTTAGCTAGGTATTTATCGCTAAGTCATAACTTTAGTAATGAATTTTGATTGGTTATATAGATAGAATTACTATACAATGTAAGCTAGAACATCCTAAATCATCGCCTAAATGTGTAGCTGACTGTTAACTCTTTGTAGATGCAAAGCTACTCCGCCAGTCTGCTCAAACATTCCAGCTACCGTTTTGTG